GTTAGGAAATGAAGACACCCTCTTGCTAAGTGCCAGTTTACTTTCTTAAGCCCTTGCCATGTAGAATCTGGCTTTACCTTATCTATGCAAACCATGAGGTGCATCTTGAAAGCAGCAGTTAGGGTCAAAGAGTTAGGATCTAGGATCATCTGAAACGGTCTTGGATAATGAGGTGATATGTTTTCTCTTTATTTACCTATCCTTGTGAAATCTCTTTTGTTTGAGGTGATGTGGAGTGGAGTTAAGGAAAGCAAAGCAAGAAAATGTGGCTGAGTTAGCTGGGGTTTTGCATCCCCTGAATTTTCCCTTTATTTGAATTTTTCTTTTTTTTTTAAAGAGACAAGCTTTTGCTCCATTACTCAGGCTGGCATGCAGTGGTGCAAACATAATTCACTGCAACCTTGAACTTGTGGGCTTAAGAGATCCTTGAACTCTTGAACCACTGTGCCTGGCTTATCTTTTTTTGAGACAGAGTCTTGCTCTGTTGCCAGGCACCAGGCTGGAATGCAGTGGTGCCATCTCAGCTCACTGCAACCTCCGCCTCCCGGGTGCAAGCAGTTCTCCTGCTTCAGCCTCCCATGTAGCTGGGATTATGGGTGTGCGCCACCATGCCCAGTTAATTTTTGTGTTTTTTAGTGGAGACAGGGTTTCACCATGTTGGCCAGTCTGGTGTTGAACTCCTGACCTCATGATCTGCCCGCCTTGGCCTCCCAAAGTGCTGGGATTACGGGCATGAGTTACAGTGCTCTTTTTTTTTTTTTTTTTTTTTGGACACGGGGTCTCACTCCGTAGCCCAGGGTAGAGAGCAGTGGTGCCATTGTAGCATACTGCAGCCTCAACCTTGGCGTAAGCAATCCTCCCGACTCAGCTTCTCAGCTAGGACTGCAGATTTGTTCCACCACATCAAGCTAATTTTTAAATATTTTGTAGAGATAGGGTCTCGATATGTTGCCCAGGCTGGTCTCAAACTCCTGGGCTCAAGTGATCCTTTGCTTTGGCTTCCTAAAGTGTTGAGATAACAGGTGTGAGCCACCAAGCTTAGCACCGAAACTTTGCTTTCTGATTGTTACTATTAGTGCCATGTTTAATACAAACTGTTGCTAACTGAAGTAGTAGGTAAAAGTCTAGTTTCTAAATTCTAACTTTATTCTGATTTTTGAGACTGTCTCACTCTGTTGCCCAGGCTGGAGTGAGTGGTGTGATTTCAGCTCGCTGCAAACTCTGCCTCCCAGGTTCAAATGATTCCCATGCCTTAGCCTCCCAAGTAGCTGGGATTAAATGCATAGCTAACTTTTGTATTTTTAGTAAAGATGGGCTTTCACCATGTTGGCCAGGCTGGTCTCGAACCCCTGGCCTCATGTGATTTGTCCGCCTTGGCCTCCTAAAGTGCTGGGATTACAGGCGTGTGCCATCATGTCTGGCCTTAAATAATAACATTAAATTAAACTCTGGCCACTGTCCCTACGCAGGATTTAAGGGTAACTGGTAGGAGTGAACCTAGCCTGTTTCTGTGACTGACTGTTCTGTTTATACTGCTGCCATCTCACATGATTTAGATTGACTCCCAGGTTGTAGGTGGTCACGTTTGGAGAGAATGACATTTATTCAATGAGGTTGACAGACTGTGAGCGTGAAGTGGTTGCTTTCAGAATTTGGACTCTGATTTATTAACTCACATTTTCTTTTCTCTAAGCTGTTGTTTCACCTTTAATTTATTTAGCCTGCTATAGGAAGCTGGTGATTATACTTAGCAAGAAATAATTTCTTTTGGATTTAAAAAATTACTCAGAGAATATTACAAGTTTGCAGAGAATTACTTTTCTATTATAACAGAATCTTAGAGTGTGAGGGCTGAGTAGGAATTCCTTAAAAGCTCATCAGGGTGATTGCTATGAACTGGCCAGGTTGCGAATCATTGTAAGAGGATTAAAGTGGGGCCAGGCCCCATGGCTCATGCTTACAATTCCACACTTTGGGAGGCTAAGGTGGGAATATCACCTGAGCCTGGAGAATCACCTGAGCCCAGGAGTTTGAGACCAGCCTAGGCAACAGAGTGAGACCTCGTCTCTACAAAAATTTAAAAATTTAGGCCAGGCGTGGTGGCTTACGCCTGTAATCCCAGCACTTTCGGAGGCTGAGGGTGGTGGATCGCTTGAGCTCAGGAGTTTGAGACCAGCCCGGGCAATGTGGCAAAACCCTGTCTCTGTAAAAAAATATAAAAATAAGCCAAGAGTGGTGGTACGTGCCTGGAGTCCCCAGTTACTTAGAGGGGTGCTGAGACAGGAGGATTGCATGAACTCCAGAGGTTGAGGCTGCAGTGAGCCAAGATCATGCCACTGCACTACAGCCTGGGTGACAAAGTAAGACCCTGTCTGAAAAAATTAGCTCGGTGTGGTGGTGCACACCTGCAATCCTAGCTGGGAGGCTGATTTGGAAGGATTGCTTAAGCCAGAATTGCTTAAGCAAAGGATTGCTGCAGTGTGCTATGATGGTGCCACTGCTCTCCACCCTGGGCTGAGTGAGAATCTGTCTCAAAAAAAAAGAAAAAAAAAGGCCAAGCACGGTGGCTTATTCCTGTAACCCCAGCTTTTTGGGAGGCTGAGGTGGGCAGATCACTTGAGGTCAGGAGTTCAAGACCAGCTTGGCCAACATGGCAAAACCCCATGTCTACTAAAAATACAAAATTAGCCACGTTTGTTAGCTCATACCTGTAATCTCAGCTACTTGGGAGGCCGAGGCAGGAGAATCGCTTGAACCTGGGAGGTAGAGGTTTCAGTGAGCCAAGATGGCATCACTGCACTCCAGCCTGGGCAGTAGAGTGAGACTCTGTCTTTAAAAAAAAAAAAAAAAGACTAGGCTTGGTGGTTTGTACCTATAATCCTAACGGTTTAGAAGGCCGAAGTAGGATTGAGTCCAGGAGTTTGAAATAAGTCTGGGTAACAAAGTGAGACCCCATCTCTACAGAAAAAATAGGCTGGGCGTGGTGGCTCATGCCTGTAATCTCAGCACTTTGGGAGGCCAAGGCGGGTGGATCACTTGAGCTCTGGAGTTTGAGACCAGCCTGGGCAACAAAGGCAAATCCTGTGTCCACAAAAAAACATAAAAATTGACATGGTGGTGAGTGCTTGTAGTCTCAGCTACTCAGGAAGCTGAGTGGTAGGGTGGCTTGAGCTTGGGAGGCGGAGGTTGCTGTGAGCTAAGATTGCGCCACTGCACTGTAGCCTGGGTGACAGAGCGAGACCCCATCTCTAAATAAATGAATAAAATGCATAAATAATTATTATATTGTTAGAGTATAAATAAATTGGTGTAACAGTTTCAGAAAGCAACCTAAGAATGTGTAAATGGCTTTAATGACCATATTTTATCTGCTAATTCCACTTTGAGAATTTGACGTAATTAATCACAAAAGCCTCTGTCTAAAGAGACTCCCAATGCTATTATATTAAACTAGCAAAAAAATTAGAAGCCACCTAAATGTATAACAATGTGGGGTTGGTTACATTATTCTGTAAGTGTGTGTCGAACAAGGATACAGCAATTAATCATGCTTTTGAAGACAAGGGATGCATAAAAATGCTCACAGAATAGTAAGCAGAAAAGATCTTCTATGCTTGTCATTTGTCATAAATCAAAAGTGTAAGATTTGTGGCAAGTATGTAAAATGGAGATTTAAAGGAAACCAATATTAATGGATTAGTGCTCTGTGAGTACTGGCAACTATTCTTCCCTATTTTCAGAATTGAACATGTATTATAATTGGAGAGAAAAACATTTTTAAAAAGGATATAACTCAAGCTGATCAAATATGCTTTTATTTCTTTATTTTGACAGTTTTTTCTCTGTCACCCAGGCTGGAGTGCAATGGCATGTTCTTGGCTCACTGCAATCTCTGCCTCCCGGGTTCAAGCAATTCTCCTGCCTCACCCTCCCAAGTAGCTGAAGTAGCTGGGATTACAGGTGCCTGTCACCATGCCTGGCTAATTTTTTTGTATTTTTAGTAGAGATGGGTTTTCATCATGTTAGCTAAGCTGGTCCCCAACTCAACCTCAGGTGATCCACCCGCCTTGGCCTCCCAAGGTGTTGGGATTACAGGCGTAAGCCACCACGCCTAGCCACTAATATGCTTTTAGAGCACAACTTCTTTGGTTTATCGATTTAACAGCTTGAGTTTGACCTGTAGAACATATGCAAACATGGTTTTGCTTTTATGCCTTTTGAATATATTTGCTAAGGCCTAGGACAACCCCTTGTGGTGTAGAATCTGGTTATGCTATAGCAATTTAAAGGGGAATGTCTTCTGTCCTGCCACCAGGTGAAATACTTTTCCTTAATACAGAATGGCTGTTTCATTTCCTGTAACTGCATCTGCCTGAACTTTTACAGGGGCAGTGGTAAGCTGTGTAAAATAGAGACATTAGCCGGGCGTGGTGGCTCAAGCCTGTAATCCCAACACTTTGGGAGGCCGAGGCGGGTGGATCACGAGGTCAAGAGATCGAGACCATCCTGGTTAACATGATGAAACCCCGTCTCTACTAAAAATACAAAACATTAGCTGGGCATGGTGGTGCATGTCTGTAATCCCAGCTACTCAGGAGGCTGAGGCAGGAGAATTGCCTGAACCCAGGAGGCGGAGGTTGCGGTGAGCCGAGATGGCGCCATTGCACTCCAGCCTGGGTAACAAGAGCGAAACTCCGTCTCAAAAAAAAAAAAAAAAAAAAAAAAAAAAAGAAAGACATTATCGACTGAGAATCTATGTGGTTTGATCTATACTGTGTTTGTCTTGAGGGAGGGGACCCTTTAGGCTTCATTATTTCAAGAAAAAAAAACACGGGTTGTCTTGCTCAAAGTGCTTGTGCTCTGGGCCAAACCCAGATTCTTGGAGGTGGTAGAAGGGCCCATTTACCTTGGTTTAAATAGTTTTGCTGGGAGGTGGAGGGCAGTTAGCTTGAGTGAATGTATCACTTCTTAAGGCATTCTTTTGTGTTTCTTGCTTTCAGATGGAAAGAACTCAAGTGGATCCAAGCGTTATAATCGCAAACGTGAACCTTCCTACCCCAAAAATGAAAGTTTTAGCAACCAGTCCCGTCGCTCCAGTTCACAGAAAAGCAAGACTTTTAACAAGATGCCTCCTCAAAGGGGCGGCGGCAGCGCCAAACTCTTTAGCTCTTCTTTTAATGGTGGAAGACGAGATGAGGTATGGAATTGGAAAATGTCCTTTCTAGAACATAAGCATGAGATTTGATCTCACTCCTGCCCCTCAGTTTATCAGTAGTTGAGGAGGGGAACAAGAGGTGGAAGAATAGATAATCAGAGGAGTCTTGGATAGCTGAGAAGGTTAACTAGGTTTGAAACCTTGCCTCCTTTTTTCCCCTGAAGATTATGAAACTCTCCTTGAAGGAAGGAAAATTTTCTTTATGGCAAATTTGGGGTTCCTTAATTTGTATGATCCTTTCATTATCACTCTTGAATTATAGATACCTTTTGGAATCTTAAGGTAATAAAATGATATTAATGACATTTGCCTTTGTAATAATCTAGCAAAATGTAAAATGCCTATATCCCTAGTCTCAATTTTTTTTTTTTTTTTGAGATGGAGTTTTGCTCTTGTTACCCAGGCTGGAGTGCAATGGCACGATCTTGGCTCACCGCAACCTCCGCCTCCTGGGTTCAGGCAATTCTCCTGCCTCAGCCTCCTGAGTAGCTGGGATTACAGGCATGTGCCACCATGCCCAGCTAATGTTTTGTATTTTTAGTAGAGACGGGGTTTCACCATGTTGAACAGGATGGTCTCGATCTCTTGACCTCGTGATCCACCCACCTCGGCCTCCCAAAGTGCTGGGATTACAGGCTTGAGCCACCGCACCTGGCCTTCAATTTTTTTTTTAGGAGTTTCTTAGCTATGCTTCTGTAAGTGCAAGGGTGTTCACTGCTGGGTTTGTAGTTGCAGAATTTGGGAAATAACCTAAATGCTTATCAACAAGAGACTGGCAGAATATGTTGCATAATATGTAATTATTATAGAATAAGACAGATTTAAAAAATGTAGACCGAGGGAAGTAAAGGGATAGAGAAACAAGGAAGACAGTTTTGAGGCAAAGCAAGTAGGCTACCATGGGTGGAGGAGGAGAGGCAGGAAATGTACCCAAAGACTAGGAAAGGGATCAGATCAGGTGGGGCTTTGAAGGAGTTTGACTTCTGTTCAGAGAGATGGGAAGCCATTGAAAGGTTTAATGAGAAAAGTAAGGTAATCCAATTTGGAGTTTTAAGGGGAAGAGTGGAAGCAGGAAGACTAGTAAAGAGGCTACAAAGATATTCTTGGTGAGGGGATGGAAGCTTTGAAAGAGGGTGAGTGATGGAGGTGGTGAGAAATGTTAAGATTTGAGACATTCCTTGCAGGTAGAGCCAAGACTTTTTGTTAGATGTGGGGTCTGAGCAGAGAAAAGGATGAGTAATGTTTTTGGCATAAGCCCAATTCAGGTGCCTTTTGCTGGAATGGAGAACATTCTTTCCAGAAGAGCACAGAGTTTTTTTGGGAGAAGGGATAGGGTTGAGATAAAGAACTTCACTTTGGAAATATATGTACATTGAAATTCCTATTTGATAAATATAAGCAGAATATAAATAGAGGTTTGTAGTTCATTACGAATCAGCAGTCAAGGAAGAGACCGAGGTTAGAGAGCTTTCAGCATACAGTTGATGCTTAAGCTGTGGAACTAAGTGAGGTAGATTAAGGAGTGAGTATGGCAAAAGTGGATTCGGTTCAAGAACTAGGCTGGGCACGGTGGCTCACGCCTGTAAACCCAGCACTTTGGGAGGCCGAGGCGGGTGGATCACGAGGTCAAGAGATCGAGACCATCCTGGTCAACATAGTGAAACCCCGTCTCTACTAAAAATACAAAAAATTAGCTGGGCATGGTGGCGCGTGCCTGTAATCCCAGATACTCAGGAGGCTGAGGCAGGAGAATTGCCTGAACCCAGGAGGCGGAGGTTGCGGTGAGCCGAGATCGTGCCATTGCACTCCAGCCTGGGTAACAAGAGTGAAACTCCGTCTCAAAAAAAAAAAAGAACTGAATAAGTTCTTGAGTCTAGATAAGAGACTAGCAAAAGAGAGCATGGTCAGGGCGGAAGGAAGAGAGCTGAAAGGCATTGCAGAATGTCGTCAGTTTTGTCAAGTGCTGCTGTTAGGCTGAGTTTGAATAGGACTGAAAATTGACCATTCGATTTGAAAATGTGAAGGTAGGTGTTTGGCCTTGAGTTGCTTTGGTGGAGTGTTGAAGACAAAAACCTGGCATCTAGATTGGGGAGAATGAGAGGGTAGGAAGAAGAAACAGCAAGTATAGACAGTACTTTTTAGTGGTTTTGCTTAAAGGGGAGAGGGATATGAGGCAGTGCTTGAAGGGAATGTGAGCTTGAGGGGTTTTTTTGGTTTTTTTTTTTCGAGATGGAGTTTTGCTCTTGTTGCCCAGGCTGGAGTGCAGTGGCATGATCTCAGCCCACTGCAACGTCCACCTACTAGATTCAAGTGATTATCCTGCCTCAGTCTCCTGAGTAGCTGGGATTACAGGCACCTGCCACCACATCTGGCTAATTTTTTGTATTTTTAGTAGCGATGGGGTTTTGCCATGTTAGCCAGGCTGGTTTCAAACTCCTGACTTCAGGTGATCTGCCCGTCGTGGCCTCCCAAAATGCTGGGATTATAGGTGTAAGCCACTGTGCCCAGCTGCTTGAGGGATTTTAAGTTTAGGGAAATTATAGCATGTCTGTGCTCAATGGGAGGGTTCTGGTGAGAGGGAAGGTGATGCAGGGGAAAGGGAGAGAATTGCTGAGCAGTGTCCTTGCGTCTTTGAGATCTAGTGTGAAGTGGAGCAGTTGGCTTTGATAAGAACTCTGCCAGTTCATCCCCAGTAACAAAAGGAAGGCCTGGTGCTGGAAGTGGGGTCGGAGGCAGTTGGAATTCTTTGCTTATTGTTCTAATTTTCTCAGTGGAAGACAGGGTGAGCCGAGAGGAGGTTTGGAAGCGTGAGGAGTGGAGGAGTTGTCTGGGAAGGTGAGCGATAAATGGACTGCAGAAGTGTACTAGGATTGCAGTACTACTTGGCAGCACGAGGGTCTGCTATGGTGAGGCTGATCAGTGTGGTTGTGTTTGTTAGCCTTGTTTGTCTGCTCCATGGCTGCTGTGGGATAGGCCAAGAGTTGAATTAATCAGCAGAAGGTTTTGCCAGGTGAATACAGAAGATGGATGAAGAAGTAGGTGATGGGGCTTGGGCATGGTGGCTCACACCTGTAATCCCAGCACTTTGGGAGGTCGAGGTGGATGGATCATGAGGTCAGGAGTTTGAGACCAGCCTAATCAATGTGGTGAAACCCTATCTCTACTACATATACAAAAATTAGCTGGGCGTGGTGGTGGGCACCTGTAATCCCAGCTACTCTGGAGGCTGAGGCAGGAGAATCACTTGAACCCGAGAGGCGGAGGTTGTAGGGGGCTGATACTGTGTCACTGCACTCCAGTTTGGGCAACAGAGCAAGACTCTGTCTCAAAACAAAATTAAAAAAGGAAGTAGGCAGTGGACCATAGGATCTAAGCCAAATCTGACAAGTTGGATCATTCATTTGGAGGTCCTAGTGGGGGTAAAGAATTGATGGAGTGAGGACTAAACCTGGGGAAGGAGTGTATTCCTGGTTGAACAAGGGAATGCTCAAAGTTAATATGGTGGAAGAGGTTGTGGTTGTCAGCATAGTCTAGACTGTAGAACACTCCATTCTAATAGGATATCAGGCCACACACTTTCTAATTGCCTGCACTAAAAAAGTAAAAAAGAAGTCAATTTTAGGCCGAGGCGGGTGGATCACAAGGTCAAGAGATCAAGACCATCCTGGTCAACATAGTGAAACCCCGTCTCTTCTAAAAATACAAAAAATTAGCTGGGCATGGTGGCACGTGCCTGTAATCCCAGCTACTCAGGAGGCTGAAGCAGGAGAATTGCTTGAACCCAGGAGGCGGAGGTTGCGGTGAGCCGAGATCACGCCATTGCACTCCAGCCTGGGTAACAAGAGCGAAACTCCGTCTCAAAAAAAAAAAAAGTCTATTTTAATACATTTAATTTGCTATATCTAAAATGTAAGTTTACTACATGGTACAGCCACATTTCAAGTGCTTAGTAGCTATGTCTAGCTAGTGGCTGCTCTATTGGACGTTACAGCTCTAGAAGGAAAACCCATGGGTATGGGTGGCTGAGATTGGAGGGGCAAGCTAATTATAAGAGAGGAAGTCAACCGGGCGCGGTGGCTCAAGCCTGTAATCCCAGCACTTTGGGAGGCCGAGGTGGGTGGATTACGAGGTCAAGAGATCAAGACCATCCTGGTCAACCTGGTGAAACCCCGTCTCTACTAAAAATACAAAAAAATTAGCTGGGCATGGTGGCACGTGCCTGTAATCCCAGCTACTCAGGAGGCTGAGGCAGGAGAATTGCCTGAACCCAGGAGGCAGAGGTTGCGGTGAGCCGAGATGGCTCCATTGCACTCCAGCCTGGGTAACAAGAGCGAAACTCCGTCTCAAAGAAAAAAAAAAAAAAAAGAGGAGGTCAAGGACCTGGAGTTCAGGGTATTCGGAGGATAATCAGGAAATATGAGTGGTGTCCAAGAAAGTGACAGTGGCCAGTTAGGACAACCTGAAGATGATAGAAGGTTGAGAATATGGAGGATTTTGTTGACTGAGCATAAGCTCTTAGATCTAAGTTTGGGGCACTGAGTGTGGAAGACTGATTAGGGAGATATCAGAGCCATGTGGAGATGAAAAATAAGGGATGATATTGAACTCCTAACCTTGTGATCTGCCCACCTCGGCCTCCCAAAGTGCTGGGATTACAAGCATGAGCCACCACAACCTAATTAATTGTTTTTTTTTTTTGTTTTTTTTTTTTTTTTTGAGACGGAGTTTCACCCTTGTTACCCAGGCTGGAGTGCAATGGCGCGATCTCGGCTCACCGCAACCTCCGCCTCCTGGGCTCAGGCAATTCTCCTGCCTCAGCCTCCTGAGTAGCTGGGATTACAGGCACGTGCCACCATGCCCAGCTAATTTTTTGCACTTTTAGAAGAGACGGGGTTTCACCATGTTGACCAGGATGGTCTCGATCTCTCGACCTCGTGATCCACCCGCCTCGGCCTCCCAAAGTGCTGGGATTACAGGCTTGAGCCACTGCGCCCGGCTAATTAATTGTTTTTAATTCATTATTTTTGAGACAGGGTCTGCTGTGTCACCAAGGCTGGAGTGCAGTGGCATGATTGTGGCTCACTGCAGCCTTGACCTACTGGGCTCAAATCATCCTCCTACCTTAGCCTTCCAGGTAGCTGGGACTACAGGCATGTACCACTAAGCCTGGCTAATTTTTAAATTTTTTGTAGAGACATAGTATCCCTGTGTTGCCCAGGTTGGTCTCAAACTACTTGTCTTAAATGATCCTGCCTCCTTGGCCTCCTAAAACACTGGGATTACAGATGTGAGCCACTGTGCCCATCTTAATTTTTTTTTTTTTTTTTTTGGGGGGGCAGAGTCTTGCTCTGTCACCAAGGCTGGTGTGCAGTGGCAAGATCTCGGCTTACTGCAACCTCTGCCTCCGGAGTTCAAGCAATTCTCCTTCATGTCATCCTCCTGAATAGCTGGGATTACAGGTGCATGCTACACACCCAGCTAATTTTTGTATTTTTAGTAGAGACGGGGTTTCACCATGTAGATCAGACTGGTCTCAACTCCTGACCTCGTGATCTGCCCGCCTCGACCTCCCAAAGTGCTGGGATTACAGGCAGGAGCCACTGCACCTGGCTGCCCATCCTGATTTTATTTTTAAATTTTAGATTTTATTTTTCAGACACAGAGTCTTACTATGTTCCTAGGCTGGAGTGCAGTGGCTATTCACAGGTCTGATCATAGTGCACTGCAACATTGAATTCCTGGGCTCAAGTTATCCTCTTCAGCCTCCTGAGTGGCTGAGACTGCAGGTGTGCACTACCATGCCTGGCTTTGTATTCATTTATTTTCCTTTTTTTTTTTCTCTCAAAGATGGGGTTTCACCGTGATGGCCAGGCTGGTCTTGAACTCCTGACCTCAGATGATCCACCCACCTCGGCTTCCCAAAGTGCTAGGATTACAAGCGTGAGCCATCGCGCCTGGCCTGTATTTATTTTTAAAGGTTGTATTAGTCCATTCTCTCTTTGCTATTAAGAGCTACTTGAGACTGGGTAATTTATAAGGAAGAGAAGTTTAATTGACTCATAGTTCTGCAGGCTGTACAGGAAGCATGACTAGGGAGGCCTCAGGAAACTTACAATTATGGCAGAAGGCGAAGGGGGGGAAGCAGGCACATCTTACGTCCCAAGAGGAGTAGGAAGAGAGCGGAAGATAAGAGGAAGTGCTACATCCTTTTTTTTTTTTTTTGAGATGGAATCTTGTTCTGTCACCAGGCTGGAGTGCAATAGCATGGTCTTGGCTCACTGCAACCTCTGCCTCCCGGGTTCAAATAATTCTCCTGCTTCAGCTTCCCGAGTAGCTGGGACTACAGGCATGTGCCACGATGCCCAGCTAATTTTTGTATTTTTAGTAGAGATGGGGTTTCACCATGTTGACCAGGATGGTCTTAATCTCTTGACCTTGTGATCAACCCTCCTTGGCCTCCCCAAGTGCTGGGATTACAGGCGTGAGCCACTGTGCCCAGCGACATACTTTTAAACAACCAGATCTCCTGATAACTCATTATCATGAGAACAGCAAGGAGGAAGTCTGTCCCGTGATCTGATCACCTTGCTAGACCCCTCCACCAACACTGGGATTACAATTCTACACAAGATTTGGGAGGGGACACAAATCCAAACCATATCAAAGGTCATATACCATGATTCTGTATGCATAGAATATCTCAGAGAATATGTTAATTTTCTCTGGAAGAGAAATTGCGTTTCACTATGTCCCTTTTTGTATTCTTTGTATTCTTTTTGTTTTTGAGACGGAGACTCATTCTGTCACCAGGTTGGAGTGCAGTGGCACGCAATCTGTCTCCCGGTTTCAAGCGATTCTCCTGCCTCAGCTTCCCGAGTAGCTGGGACTACAGGTGTGTGCCACCACGCCCAGCTAATTTTTATATTTTTAGTAGAGACAGGGTTTCACCATGTTGGTCTTGATCTCTTAACCTTATGGTCTGCCCTCTTTGTCCTCCCAGAGTGCTGGATTACAGGCATAAGCCCCTACGTCTTTGGATTATTTACTGTGTAAGTGCAAGTGCTGCTCACCAAAAATCTTCAAATTTGACTAAGCAGCAAAAGCCTTAAATTTGCATTTTCTTTGACTCAATTCCTCTGTACATTCAAAAGAAATAATTGTAAGTACTCAAATATTTGTGCATAAAGAATGTATCCAAGGCCAGGCATGATGGCTCATGCCTGTAATCCCAGTACTTTGGGAGGCCAGGGCCCATGAATTACGAGGTCAGGCGTTCAAGACCAGTCTGGCCAAGATGGTGAAGCCCGGTCTCCACTAGAAATACAAAAATTAGCCAGGTGTGGTGGCGGGTACCTGTAATCCCAGATACTGCTACTCGGGAGGCTGAGGCAGAGAATTGCGTGAACCCGGAAGGCAGAGGTGGCAGTGAACCAATGATTGCGCCACTGCACTCCAGCCTGGGTGACAGAACGAGACTCTGTCTCAAAAAGTAAAAACAAAATAAAAATTAAAAATGTGCTTATCGGGCCAAGGCGGGTGGATCATGAGGTCAAGAGATCGAGACCATCCTGGTCAACACGGTGAAACCCCGTCTCTACTAAAAATACAAAAATTAGCTGAGCATGGTGGCGCGTGCCTGTAGTCCCAGCTACTCAGGAGGCTGAGACAGGAGAATTGCCTCAACCCGAGAGGCGGTGAGCCGAGATCGCGCCATTGCACTCCAGCCTGGGTAACAAGAGCGAAACTCCTTCTCAAAAAAAGAAAAAATGTGCTTATCACTGCATTATTTTGAAACTGGAAAAGCGTTAAACAATCTGTACTGTACAGTAGGGTAGTAAACTATGGTATACTCATATAATGCAATGGTATGCAGCTATTTGAAGTGACTAACAGAAGTGTTTATAGCATTAAGTGGGAAAGTGGAGCTGGGAAATGCCCTAGCTGACTTCCATTTGTTTTGCTGCCATTTGAGAACATTCAGAGGACTGAAATCCACCTTGACATCGCTTCCTCCACATTTTCGCTTGCAGTGGTGTTTCTCGTATGGTTTCTTGGCTACCTTATGAACTGTTTCTGAATCTGCTGATTGGGTTTATTTCTGGACACAGAGCTAGTCTGCCTACATGTTCCAGTTCTGTCAGTTTTAATTAGCAATGAATAACTGTGTCTTAGATGGGAGGTCTGGTAGGATCTAGAACCTGTGTCAGCAGCTCTGCCTGCAAGCCATCTCCAGAGTGTGGCTACACAGACTCACTTTGCCAGAAGCAGACCAAAGAACAAATAGTTAACAAGAGTCAAGGTGTCAGAGTCCTATGGGACTGTTGAAAGGATTAATCCAGCTAAGTAAATTTTTGTGATTAAAGATAGCTAGAGATGTTCTTGCTGGGTTTTGTCCTTGAATGGTTGTCACTTAGCAGGGCAGATTAAACAGTTTAATCCTATTGTAAAGGCTCTTTTCCCCTCTTCACTTCTATTCACTCTTGGGTAGGCTTTTGTATTACTCCCTCCCAGGATGACTTTTTTGCTTTAAGCCTGTTTTATTTAATTTTTTTTTAAAAAAGGAATAAAATAATGGCTGCTCCATATACAAAGCCTATTTAGTTACTATTTTAAGCTGTGCAGGTGTGGCCTGGTGGCTCACGCCTGTAATCCCAGCACTTTGGGAGGCTGAGGAGGCTGGATCAGGAGTTCAAGACCAGCCTGGCTAACATGGTGAAACCCTATCTCTACTAAAAGTACAAATATTAGTCGGGAGTGGTCGCGGCTGCCTGTAGTCCCAGCTATTCTGGAGGCTGAGGCAGGAAAATTGAACTTGAGAGGCTGAGGTTGCAGTGAGCTGAGATCATGCCATTGCACTCTAGCCTGGGTGACAGAGTGAGATGCTGTCTCAAAAAAAATTTAAGTTGTGCCGGGCGTGGTGGCTCAAGCCTGTAATCCCAGCACTTTGGGAGGCCGAGGCGGGTGGATCACAAGGTCGAGAGATCGAGACCATCCTGGTCAACATGGTGAAACCCCGTCTCTACTAAAGATACAAAAAATTATCTGGGCATGGTGGCACGTGCCTGTAATCCCAGCTACTCAGGAGGCTGAGGCAGGAGAATTGCTTGAACCCAGGAGGTGGAGGTTGCGGTGAGCCGAGATCGTGCCATTGCACTCCAGCCTGGGTAACAAGGGCGAAACTCCGTCTCAAAAAAAAAAAAAAAAAAAAAAAAAAAAAAAATTTAAGTTGTATGGAAGGAGGGGTTTTTTGGGGTTTCTGCTATAAATCAGTGTCATCTTAATCTGAAATACTAATTCATTCTCATTCTCTTTAGGTAGCAGAGGCTCAACGGGCAGAGTTTAGCCCTGCCCAGTTCTCTGGTCCTAAGAAGATCAACCTGAACCACTTGTTGAATTTCACATTTGAACCCCGTGGCCAGATGGGTCACTTTGAAGGCAGTGGACATGGTAGCTGGGGAAAAAGGAACAAGTGGGGACATAAGCCTTTTAACAAGGAACTCTTTTTACAGGCCAAGTGAGTATTCTGTACCTCGGAGGAAAGGGAAAGTGGGCCTCTCTGGATAGCTGTGGTGCTGCTGTGAGGAGGCTTTCTTTTTATTTTTATTTTATTTTATTTTATTTTATTTTATTTTAAGACTAGTCAAATGCAGTAGTGAGAAGCGGAGAAGGGGTAGAACAAGGAGTTCGATCTGTAACTGACTGTGAACAATCAATTGAGATAACTCGCTACCTTTGGACCAGCCAGAGGCTTTCTTTAAACTATTTAGTGGAAGAGAAGCAGAAAGGGATTAGTCTACAGATATTGATCAATTTACGACCTATGCAACTTAGGACCATTCGACTTTACGACCACAATCTTGATCTTGGCTCACTGCAACCTCTGCCTCCTGGGTTCAAGCAATTCTCCTGCCTTAGCCTCCCTCGTAGTTGGGACTACAGGCGAGTGCCACCATGCCCTGCCAGTTTTTTTTTTGTAGTAGTAGAGACAGGTTTTACCATGTTAGCCAGGATGGTCTCAATCTCCTGACCTCGTAATCCACCCACCTTAGCCTCCCAAAGTGCTGGGATTACAGGCATATGCCACTGCTCCCGGCCTAATTTTGTGTATTTAGTAGAGATGGGGTTTCAGCGTGTTGCCCAGACTGGTCTCTAACTCCTGACCTCAAGTGATCCACCCGCCTTGGCCTCCCAAAGTGCTGGGATTACAGGCATGAGGCATCAGACCTGGCTGAGAACAGTCTTTTCAACTACCTTGAAGACTAGGCATTTTCTGGGTTCTAAGGGGTGAGAGAGGAAATCTGGCTTACTGCTGTTTGATGGAGTCATAGTCTAGGTTAATTTTAGTTCAAGGATGCCTTCAGGGAATTTGACTGGACTTGGAAGCAGAAGAAAACAGTTCATGGATTTAGACTTCTGTTTGCTGAGTCTTTGCGTTCCTTCCAGAGCCGGAGCTCAGAACTGAGGCTGAGGTCCTAGTGCAGTGCCTCATGAACCAGGGCCGTTAATGGCCTGTGTTTGATTTCTAAGTGAAGATAACAGATTTCTGCTGAGGGCTTATTGGTAGATTCTGACAGTCTAAGTTTTTCCTGTCTTCCCCCCTATTTCTAGCTGCCAATTTGTGGTGTCTGAAGACCAAGACTACACAGCTCATTTTGCTGATCCTGATACATTAGTTAACTGGGACTTTGTGGAACAAGTGGTGAGTAGCTCAGCCAAGCCTGCCTGTAAGCTGTGAGTGGGAGAGAGCACTAAATAAAGGTACTGTGGTGACACAGCAGCTGTTGACTGTGTTCACTGCTTGATACCCTTTTCTGCCTGGCCTTTCTATAGACATTTCCCAGAGGTCAGTTCCTGGTTCTTCCTGGAGTCCATTTTGTGACTAATTGGCACTGGCCTGTAGGGATGGTATATGAAAGGCTTTGATCTGAAGGTTTGTAAACTGGGAAATAGTAACCCCTTACACTCCTGACCTGGGTTGGACTCACTCCTTCATTGGCAGCCATTTGTAGCAATCAGTATTAAAGTAGGCCTCAGCCTTGTGGCAGGTGAGCAGATGAATGAGCCACACAGTTACACTTTTTTTTTTGAGACAGAGTCTTGCTCTCTTGCCAGGCTGGAGTGCAGTGGCGCTATCTTGGCTCACTACAACTTCTGCCTTCCTGGTTCAAGTGATTCTCCTGCTTCAGCTTCCCAAGTAGCTGGGACTACAGGTGCATGCCACCATGTGCAGCTCATTTTTCTATTTTTAGTAAAGGTGGGATTTCACCATGTTGACCAGGATGGTCTTGATCTCTTGACCTCGGGATCTGCTCGTCTTGGCCTCCCGAAGTGCTGGGATTACAGATGTGAGCCAGTGTACCCAGTTTCTTCCCCCTCACCCCCAGATGGAGTTTCACTCTTGTTGCCTGGAGTGCAATAATGCAATCTCGGTTCATCGCAACCTCTGCCTCCTGGGTTCAGGTGATTATCCTGCCTCAGCCTTCTGAGTGGCTGAGATTATAGGCATGTGCCAGCACGCCCAGCTAATTTTGTGTTTTTAGTAGAGGTGGGTTTTCTCTATGTTGGTCAGGCTGGTCTTGAACTCCCAACCTCAGGTGATCCGCCTGCCTTGGCCTCCCAAAGTGCTGGGATTATAGGTATGAGCCACTGCACCCAGCTTTTTTTTTTTTTTTTTTTTTTTTCTTTTTTAAGACAGAGTCTCACTCTGTTGTCCAGGCTGGAATACAGTGGCATGATCTTGGCTCACTGCAACATCTGCCTCCTGAATTCAAGCAATTCTCATGCCTCAGCCCCTAAGTAGCTGGGATTACAGGTGTACCACCCCGCCCACTGGCCCCTGACCATGCCTGGCTAATTTATTTATTTTTTTTTTTTGAGACGGAGTTTTGCTCTTGTTACCCAGGCTGGAGTGCAATGGCGCAATCTCGGCTCACCGCAACCTCCGCCTCCTGGGTTCAGGCAATTCTCCTGCCTCAGCCTCCTGAGTAGCTGGGATTACAGGCACGTGCCACCATGCCCAGCTAATTTTTTCTATTTTTAGTAGAGACGGGGTTTCACCATGTTGACCAGGATGGTCTCGATCTCTCGACCTTGTGATCCACCCGCCTCGGCCTCCCAAAGTGCTGGGATTACAGGCTTGAGCCACCGCGCCCGGCGGCTAATTTATTTTTTAAGACGGAGTCTTGCTTTGTCGCCAGGCTGGAGCACAGTGGCATAGTCTCGGCTCACTGCAACCTCCGCCTCCTGGGTTCAAGCGATTCTTGTGCCTGAGCCTCCCGCATAGCTGGGACTACAGGCGTGTGCCAAATGCCTGGCTAATTTTGTATTTTTAGTAGAGACGGGGTTTCACCATGTGGGCCAGGATGGTTTCGAACTCCTGACAGCAAGTGATCCACCCGCCTTGGCTTCCCAAGGTATTGAGGTTACAGGCATAAGCCACCACGCCTTGCCCAGTTGTATTTCTTTTTTTTTTTTTTTTTTTTGAGACAGTCTTGTTCTGTTGCCCCGCTGGAGTGCAGTGGCGCGATGCGATGTTGGCTCACTGTAACCTCCACCTCCTGGGTTCACGTGATTCTCTTGCCTCAGCCTCCCGAGTAGCTGGAATTACAGGCGTGTGCCACTATGCCTGACTAATTTTATATTTTTAGTAGAGACAGGGTTCCACTGTGTTGTCCAGGCCAGCCTCAAACTCCCAGCCTCAAATGATCCACGCATCTTGGCCTCCCAAAGTGCTGGGATTACAGGCGTGAGTCAGTGTACCTGGCCCTAGTTGTACTTTCAAAGCCACTACGGTGTTTTCTATTGAATTTATAAACTCTAGGTATCCCCTTGTTGATCCTAATAGGGTATCTGTTGAAGAATAATAATTTCAAAATGATAGGCACTTTTTTTTTTGATGAGCAGGGGCTTTTGACCCCAAAGCTTGAACTCTGACTACTGTGAAAATGTATAAAATCATCTGAGAATGACGTAGAAGGCATAAAAACTTAAGTTTTATTTTTTTAAAAAAATATTGGCACACAAAGTGAAGTATTTTTAATGCGTTTTCTGTTGGAAATTACTGGTAAATTACTTCTAGACCCTTTATAGACTTTTATGCATACATTTTTTTTTTTTTCTGAGACGGAGTTTCGCTCTTGTTACCCAGGCTGGAGTGCAATGGCGCGATCTCAGCTCACCGCAACCTCCGCCTCCTGGGTTCAGGCAATTCTCCTGCCTCAGCCTCCTGAGTAGCTGGGATTACAGGCACGTGCCACCATGCCCAGCTAATGTTTTGTTTTTAGTAGAGACGGGGTTTCACCATGTTGACCAGGATGGTCTCAATCTCTTGACCTCATGATCCACCCGCCTCAGCCTCCCAAAGTGCTGGGATTACAGGCTTGAGCCACCGCGCCTGGCTTTTTTTTTTTTTTTTTTGAGATGGAATCTCGCTCTATCACCCAGGCTGGAGTGCCACAGCCCAATCTCAGCTCACTACAACCTCCACCTCCCGGGTTTAAGCAATTCTCCTACCTCAGCCTCCTGAGTAGCTGGGATTACAGGCGCCCGCTACCATGCCCAGCTAATTTTTGCATTTTTAGTAGAGACAGGGTTTCACCACATTGGCCAGGCTGGTCTTGAACTTCTGACCTCAGTTGATCTGCCTGCCTTGACCTCCTAAAGTGCTGGGATTACAGGTGTGAGCCACCACTCCTGGCTGCATACATATTACATCTTTTTTGTAAATGGGAATATAGTGATTTGTCATTTTTAAAATTTTAATGTAGAACCCCCAAAATACCTGTTGTGTATTTATTATATTAAGCCATTATTATGGTTTCCTTAATGATTTGCTTGAAGAGCTGTCATATATGTACTACATTGTTAAACAATTTTTAGAAGATGTGTTGCGTATAAGAATGTATGGGGATGGGATGAGAGAGTAGAGGCTTATAACTTTGATAGTCCCTAATCAATTCTGCAAGTAGTGAACCTTGTGGTGGCATTTTGTTTCAGCGCATTTGTAGCCATGAAGTGCCATCTTGCCCAATATGCCTCTATCCACCTACTGCAGCCAAGATAACCCGTTGTGGACACATCTTCTGCTGGGCATGCATCCTGCACTATCTTTCACTGAGTGAGAAGGCCTGGAGTAAATGCCCCATCTGTTATAGTTCTGTGCATAAGAAGGATCTCAAGAGGTGAGATTGAGACATTTACTAGATTCGATCCCAGTCTGTTCACTCTTTGTCCTGCTACATATAAGTGTCCATGTTTCAGTGTTGTTGCCACAGAGTCACATCAGTATGTTGTTGGTGATACCATTACGATGCAGCTGATGAAGAGGGAGAAAGGGGTGTTGGTGGCTTTGCCCAAATCCAAATGGATGAATGTAGACCATCCCATTCATCTAGGAGGTGAGTTCTTTAAATTTGGGGGCAAATAATCCTGGGTACATCCTTTAAGGTGACTGAATATATCTTAAGTGTGAAAGTTAAGTCTTTGGGCAAGGCTTAAGCCTAAGGCTTAAACCCAAGGATTCTGGTAGGTTAGGGTGGAGTTTCTAGAGGGTTGATTAACTCTTGGTTTCAGAGTTTTGTATATATTGTTTAATGTATACATCTTAATTTCTCATTTTACAAGGTTTTACTGGCTAGTGTCTTTCACTTGTGCCCAGTCTTAGGGGTTTTGTAGTCAGCTAGTCTTGGTGCCTGTCGTCAAGAAACTCAATAGTAAGGCCAGGTGCAGTGGCTCAAGCCTGTAATCCCAGCACTTTGGGAGGCCGAGGTGGGTGGATCACGAAGTCAAGAGATAGAGACCATCCTGGTCAACGTGGTGAAACCCCGTCTCTACTAAAAATACAAAAAATTAGCTGAGCATGGTGGCATGTGCCTGTAATCCCAGCTACTCAGGAGGTTGAGGCAGGAGAATTGCCTGAACCCAGGAGGCGGAGGCTGCAGTGAGCCGAGATTGTGCCACTGCACTCTAGCCTAGCACCTGGTGACAGAGTGGACTCTGACTCAAAAAAAAAAGAAAAAAGAAAAAAAAAATCCTCAGATATGAGTGGATTTTTGAACCTGGCTGAAATGATAGATACTATAAAAGATTGATAAATTTGATTTTATAGGAAGGAAACTTATATCTGAGAAGATTTCTAAAGTTAACAGGTGATAAACTAGGGAAAGATTTACACATTTAAAACTAAGAATTAACATCAAGAACATATAGATGTTCTATAAAGTACATTAATAACTAGTGGAAGAATGGGCTAAGTATGTGACAAAGTTTTCCAGTAACGAAAACGTTTTTGACCAGCCTGACCAACATGGTGAAACCCATCTCTACTAAAAACACAAAAAAATTAGCCAGGCATAGTGGTGCATGCCTGTCATCCCAGCTACTCAGGAGGCTGAGTCAGGAGAATCACTTGAACCCGGGAGGCAGAGTTTGCAGTAAACTGAGATAGCGCCGTCACACCCCATTTTGGGTGAAAAGAGTGAAATTCCATTTCAAAAAAGAAAGGAAAAAAAGAACCACCAGTAACAACAACATTAAAGAAATTGTTGGTGGGGCACGGTGGCTAATGCCTGTAATCCCAGCACTTTGGGAGGCCAAGGCAAGTGGATCACCTGACGTCAGGAGTTTGAGACCAGCCTGGCCAACATGGTGAAACCCCGTCTCTACTAAAAATACAAAAATTAGCTGGGCATGGTGGCAGGTGCCTGTAATCTCAGCTACTCAGGAGGCTGAGGCAGGAGAATGGCTTAAACCCAGGAGGTGGAGGTTGCAGTGAGCCGAGATGGTGCCACTGCACTCAGCCTGGGTGACAGAGCAAGACTCCATCTCAAAAAAAATTAAGTAAAAGCCAGGCGCAGTGGCTCAAGCTTGTAATCCCAGCACTTTGGGAGGCCGAGGCGGGTGGATCACGAGGTCGAGAGATTGAGACCATCCTGGTCAACATGGTGAAACCCCGTCTCTACTAAAAATACAAAAAATTAGCTGGGCATGGTGGCACGTGCCTGTAATCCCAGCTACTCAGGAGGCTGAGGCAGGAGAATTGCCTGAACCCAGGAGGCGGAGGTTGCGGTGAGCCGAGATCGCGCCATTGCACTCCAGCCTGGGTAACAAGAGCGAAACTCCGCCTCAAAAAAAAAAAAAAAAAAAATTAAGTAAGTAAATAAATAAATAAATGATGGCTCAGCGCAGTGGCTCATGCTTATAATCCCAGTACTTTTGGAGGCTGAGATAGGAAGATTGCTTGAGTTTAGAAGTTCAAGACCAGCCTAGCAACATAGCAAGACCTCATCTCTGCTAGACATGAAAATACCATCCTGGTTAACATGGTTAAACCCTGTCTCTAGCAAAAATACAAAAAATTAGCTCGGATTACACGTGTGAGCCACTGTTCCCTTCCAGTTTGAGGTTTTTCGGTATTACAATGCTATAATTAATAAACACTGTGTGACTAAAGTCTTGACTGCATCTCTGGTTTTCTTGTTTCTTGTATTAAGAGCAGAGCTACAGACCTTATTTTAAGGCCACTGTTACATTGTTTTCTGGGAAAGTATGCTAAATTACCCATTTTCACCCCAGAGAAAAGGCTGTATTTGAAAGTTCCTATTTAGCTACACCATCGTGGGCTTTGAGTGTTGCATTTCTTTGATCTTGCTGGTGTTCTTATAGATGAACAGCACAGCCAGTACTCTAAGTTGCTGCTGGCATCTAAGGAGCAGGTGCTGCACCGGGTAGTTCTGGAGGAGAAAGTAGCACTAGAGCAGCAATTGGCAGAGGAGAAGCACACTTCCGAGTCCTGCTTTATTGAGGCAGCTATCCAGGAGCTCAAGGTAAGAGGATGCATTGGAGATGTTAACCTTTTTACTCTGTCGGGGGTCTCTAGTTAAAACTAGAAATGCTAAACCTTTTTACTCTGTCACGGGTGAGTGGATGGTCACTGGGGATAAGTTACTTCCATCCCACGTTTAAGACCACATTAAGACAATAAGCACACATTCCACATTAAGACAAGCAGAGAATGGCTAAAAAAGCCAATTTGTTCTGGGCTTTGGTGATGGGAGAGAAGGTTTAACCTAGGGCTTTTAAAGCTCTTTCTAGAGCTAAAAGGAACAAATCAAAATGATTTTATAACTAATTCTAATTGTGACAGTGGAGTTTTTTAGTTAAGCTAGGTTCTTATAGAGGTTTTTGTTTTCTGGGAAAATACTCAGATTTTATTCTAGAGGTATTTTAAGAGACATTGTGGGCCTGCCGTGGTGGCTCACGCCTATAATCCCAGCACTTTGGGAAGCCAAGGTGGGCGGATCACGAGGTCAGCAGTTCCAGACAAAACTGGCCAACATAGTGAAACCCCGTCTCTACTAAAAGTACAAAAATTAGCTGGGTGTGGTGGCGGGTATTTGAATTTCTGGCTTTTTGACTCTCCAGGTCTCTTTTGGGTAGAGTCCTGTATATTTAACTTTTGCTTTCTTTCTATAATACATCGCTGCCGTATTTATTCAAATGGCATCATAGGCGTAAGAAAGGCAACATAGAATTAGAGCGGTCCAGGCTGAGGTGGGGTTAACTAAACCCCTCCTACTGCTCTGGGCCTTTGTCTGAGCATAGTTTGTAAAAAGTAGGTTCTTAGATTTCTTTTCTGGAAGCTTTTGTGTAATGTTTTTAGTGTCAAAATTCTTTCTTTCTTTCTTTTTTTAACTTTTAAGTTCAGGGGTACAAATGTAGGTTGTTAAAAAGGTAAACCTGTGTCATGGGGTTTGTCATACAGATTATTTCACCCAGGTATTAAGCCTAGTACCCATTCGTTATTTTTCCTGAACCCTCCCTCCTCCCACTCCCCACCCTCTGATAGGGCTCAGTGTGTGTTCCCCACTATGTGTCCATGTGTTCTCATCATTTAGCTTCCACTTAGAATTGAGAACATGCGATAATTTGGTTTTCTTTCTCTTTTTTTTTTCCTTTTTGAGACAGCGTAGCTCTGTTGCCCAGGCTGGAGTGCAGTGGTACAGTCTTGGCTTACTGCAACCTCTGCCTCCCAGGTTCAAACAGTTCTCATGCCTCAGCCTCCTGAGTAGCTGGGATTACAATACATGGTATGCACCACCATGCCTGGCTAATTTATTTTATACTTTTAGTAGAGACGGGGTTTTACCATGTTGGCCAGGTTGATCTCAAACTCCTGGCCTCAAGTGACCCAACCCTCCTCGGCCTTCCACAGTGCTGGGATTACAGGCTTGAGTTACTGTACTTGGTTGGTATTTGGTTTTCTCTTCCTGTGGTGGTTTGCTAAGGATTATAGCTACCAGCACCATCCATGTCCATGCAAAGGACATGATGTCATTCCTTTTTATTGCTGCATATTATTCCATGGTGTATGTGCACCAGATTTTCTTTATCCAGTTGATCATTGATGGGCATTTAGGTTGATTTCATGGCTTTGCTATTGTGAATGGTGCTGCAGTGAACATACATGTGCATGTGATTTTTTTTTTTTTTTTTTTTTTTTTTTTTTTTTAGATGGAGTTTTGCTCTGTCACCAGGCTGGAGTGCAGTGGCGCGATCTCGGCTCACAGCAGTCTCCGCCTCCCAGCTTTAAGTAATTGTCCTGACACAGCCTGTCAAGTAGTTGGGATTACAGGCACTCGCTGTCACACCTGGTTAATTTTCTTATTAATTTTTTATTTTTTTGAGACGAAGTCTCCCTCTCTTGAGCAGGCTGGAGTGCAGTGTCACAGTCTTGGCTCAGCATAACCTCTGCCTCTTGGGTTCAAGTGATTCTCCGACCTCAGACTTCCAAGTAGCAGGGGTTACAGGCACTTACCACCATGCCTAGCTAATTTTTATATTTTTAGTAGAGATGGGATTTCACCATGTTGCCCAGGCTGTTCTGGAACTCTTGGCCTCAAGGGATCCACCCACCTTGGGCTCCCAAAGTGCAGGGATTACAGGCATGAGCCACTGTGCCTGGCTGTATCTTTACAGTAGAATGATTTATATTCCTTTGGGTATATACCCAGTAATTGGATTCCTGGGTAGAATGGTATTTACATCTTAGGTCTTTGAGGAATCACCACACTGTCTTCCACAATGGCTGAACTGATTTATACTCCCCAGTGTCAGATTCTAAGCAGAATGCAATTCTTAGTGGGTTTTGCATGTTTTGCTTCTTGTTTCCCTCAAAGTTAAAATGTTTAAGCACCTAACTCCTTCCCATTGGGTCTCATTGCTTTTAAATTTTGGTCCTGTTGAGAGGCCATTCTAAGCCCTTGCCCTTCAAGCCAAGTATATTTCTGGAAACTTAACTTTCTCTGGTGTTCTCTCTGGCGGCGTTAGACTCGGGAAGAGGCTCTGTCAGGATTGGCTGGAAGCAGAGGGGAGGTCACTGGTGGTGTGTCTGCTCTGGAACAACTGGTGCTGATGGCTCCCTTGGCCAAGGAGTCTGTTTTTCAACCCAGAAAGGTTAGTGTGTCCCTGTTACTAAGTGGCTGCCATTCCTCAAATGCTGCCATGAGGCATTACTGTGAGATCTAAACCTTCTCAGAAGAAGAGGGGACAATAAGTATTTTCTGTATGCTTGTTACTAGTTCTTTCCCCAGGGGCGTTAAATCAATGAACATGACAGCTAAGATTAATATCTGGGGAGCTTGGTTCTTAGGCCTACGTTTGCCACATTACTTCTGGAAAGTAGGAGATATACTTTCTGTTGATCTCGAGTTTGCTCCAACAGGGTGTGCTGGAGTATCTGTCTGCCTTCGATGAAGAAACAATGAAAGTTTGTTCTCTGGATGCTCCTTCTGGACCTCTTGCTCTCTCTCTGGTAGAAGAGGAGGAAGCAGTGTCTGAACCGGAGGCTGAGGGGTTGCCAGGGGCCTGTGATGACTTGGAGTTAGCAAATGACAATCTTAAGGAGGGGACCATTTGCACTGAGTCCAGCCAGCAAGAACCCATCACCAAGCCAGGCTTCACACACCTCAGCAGCTCTCCTTGTTACTACTTTTACCAAGGTGAGGGTGCTTGAGGAGAGGAGGATTGGGTTGTCACAGAGGTGGTTCAGAGAGGGGACCTGGCTCTCTAAGCAGAGGCGGTATCTCCACTAGATCCTGGGGCTTGGATGGCTTGTGCCTTTGGCCATGGGGAGGGGTGGGGGGCCTTCTGGGGGCTGGCCAAGACTGGTGTGTGATCGAGCCCCTTGTCCTCAGCGGAAGATGGGCAGCACATGTTCCTGCACCCTGTGAATGTGCGCTGCCTGGTGCGGGAGTATGGTAGCCTGGAGAAGAGCCCTGAGAAGATCTCAGCAACTGTGGTGGAGATTGCTGGCTACTCCATGTCTGAGGTGAGGCCTTCCTGTAGAAACAGATTGTCAGGCAGCAGTCTTAACCTAATCTCTGAGGTAGGTGTTGCCACCCTAAGTTCACAAACCTTCAAAGCCTTTAGTTTTTGTATTTTTAGTCTTTCTGTCAGTGACGGTACTATGAATTTGTAAGTTAGGTGCCCCCTCAGCATGACAAAGTTCTGTTAAATCAGTTAAATCTGCTGCTCCCCACTTCTCTGGTTTATTGATGGTAGTTTGGGGATGTAGATATTTCTTCCTTTTATTCAAGATGGAGTTTATTTTTGTTTCTTTTCCTCCTTACTGCTTGGGAGAAATGTCACAAATTTGTTTTAAGGTTTAAAATTGGACTCTTTGAGTACTATAAATTTTTCATCAAACATGTGCAGAAAAAGAATAGAAATGAAAATAAATGGGCAGGGCGGTAGCTCAGACCTGTAATCCCAGCACTTTTGGGAGGCCTAGGCAGGCAGATTGTTTGAAGCCAGGAGTTTGAGATCAGCCAGGGCATTTCTACAAAAAATACGAAAAAAAAATTAGCTGGGTGTGATTGTGATGGTATTCAGCTGTAGTCCCAGCTGCTCAGGAGGCTGAGGCAGGAGGATCACCTGAGCCTGGGAGATAAGAGTCTGCAGTGAGCCAGCCTGGGGGACAGATCAAGACCATGTCTCAAAAAAAAAAGAAAAGAAAAAAAATTGGACTTTATTTTCTACTATTTCAGGCCAAGTGTCTTTCAATAGGGAGATCTGCTTTATCTTGCTTCCCAGTTATTCTGTGTGTGGTTCCCAGGGGTTTTTTTTGTTTTGTTTTTGCCAACAAATACTCTTCTATTTTCGTATTCTTCCCCCTCAATTGTGGACCCGTGAAAATCAGAAGCAGCTGGGATTAGCTGTAGATTATCTGTTGCCGGACTCAATTCATTGCTTTGCAGCACAAACCAAAAATAACTGGATTTGGTTGCTTATTCCATCTTTCTGTAGGTTGACTGTTTGTTTGTTTTCAAAATGAGGATAATTGAGCACTACTGTTTTCAGCCCCAGTGCTGGCTGTGAGTGTTAAGTATATATTGTTAGGTATCTATCTGGGTTAGGACCCCTGGCTTTCAGAGTTAGGCTTGCTTTATTGAGTAATGGTCCTTTTTCCAATGTAGGATGTTCGACAGCGTCATAGATATCTCTCTCACTTGCCACTCACCTGTGAGTTCAGCATCTGTGAACTGGCTTTGCAACCTCCTGTGGTCTCTAAGGAAACCCTAGAGATGTTCTCAGGTGAGAATGCCCCTGCTCTGCTTCTCTTTATAGTAGGGTTCAGGGATGCTTGTGGCTAGAAATGCAGTGTGGGAGGAAACTTACGGAGCTGTATCATGAGTCTTTTAGTACGTCCTAAACACTTCATCTGTTCATCTAGTCCAGCTGGGCCTACTGGTGTGGGCTTAGCTGCTAATACTGGGAGGAGGTAATGGCCAGGTTGTCCTGGGACTACCTCCTTACGACCTGACAAACCCACAGATGATATTGAGAAGAGGAAGCGTCAACGCCAAAAGAAGGCTCGGGAGGAACGCCGCCGAGAGCGCAGGATTGAGATGGAGGAGAACAAGAAACAGGGCAAGTGTAAGTTGAGGAACTCTCATCTTTGACTAGTACTGCTGTGCATCATTGTATGGAACTTTGTGTCTGGGACCGACCCAGAAGCCAGACCATAGCCATTTGTTTTCTTCAATTTTTTTTTTTCTGGAGACGGAGTTTCGCTCTTGTTACCCAGGCTGGAGTGCAATGGCGTGATCTCGGCTCACCGCAACCTCCGCCTCCTGGGCTCAGGCAATTCTCCTGCCTCAGCCTCCTAAGTAGCTGGGATTACAGGCACGCGCCACCACGCCCAGCTAGTTTTTTGTATTTTTAGTAGAGACGGGGTTTCACTATGTTGACCAGGATGGTCTCGATCTCTCGACCTCGTGATCCACCCACCTCGGCCTCCCAAAGTGCTGGGATTACAGGCTTGAGCCACCGCGCCCGACTTCTTCAATTTTTAAATGTGAATCATGAGAGTACCTCCTTAATAGGCTTGCCTGTGAATTTAATGAGTTACTATGGGTCAAAGTGCATAGCACATAGTAAGGATTAAGATGAAGTTCAGCCTTGGTAATAGTGGGTGATGTAAACTTGTTCCAGAGATGGGAATTGGGGCTTCACTAAGAATGCTGGGGGCCATTGTCCCCCATGTTGTCTGGATCACTGACGTTACCTCTAACTCTCTATTAAAGGGGACAGCTGAACACAGCAAGTCTCCCAGGAGGGTCCGATAAAGTGGAAACTTTGGTAGACTAGGAAATAAGTACAGGAAGTGGATTTAAGAGATCTTTCTTTTTTTTTTTTTTTTTGAGACGGAGTTTCGCTCTTGTTACCCAGGCTGGAGTGCAATGGCGCGATCTCGGCTCACCGCAACCTCCGCCTCCTGGATTCAGGCAATTCTGCCTCAGCCTCCTGAGTAGCTGGGATTACAGGCACGTGCCACCATGCCCAGCTAATTTTTTGTATTTTTAGTAGAGACGGGGTTTCACCATGTTGACCAGGATGGTCTCGATCTCTCAACCTCGTGATCCACCTGCCTCGACCTCCCAAAGTGCTGGGATTACAGGCTTGAGCCACCGCGCCCGGCTGTTTAAGAGATCTTTCATGGCACTAAGCACAGCCTTTTGATCTGGTTCCCCAAAGTAAGCTTCATGGAATCTAGGGGATTAGTGTGGCACAAGGGCCCATTATCCACTAGAAAACAAGGAATTGAGTCCTTGGCCAAGGAAAGGACTTTGCTCTTTTGTCTCCAAATGGTATGGAAACATACATTTTATATCTCAAGTGGGGTGAGTATGTATCTGGGGTCCCAATACTATGTAGGTGTTTGGCACATGTCCTGAACTTTGAGAAAACAAATATCCAGAGAGTAGAAAGAACAATATTAATATTAACCCCCACAGGGTGTGGTGGTGTGTGCCTGTAGTCCCAGTTACTTGGGAGGCTGAGGTGGGAGGATCAGGAGTTCTGGGCTGTAGTGCACTATGCCGATCAGGTGTCTGCACTAAGTTTGGCATCAATATGGTGACCTCCCAGGAGTGAGGGACAACCAGGTTGCCTAAGGAGGGGTGAACTGGCCCAGGTTGGAAACGGAGCAGGTTAAAACTCCTGTGCTGATCAGTATTGGGATCTCGCCTGTGAATAGCCACTGCACTTCAGCCTCGGCCACATAGCGAGACCCCATCTCTTTAAAAAAAAAAAAAAAAAAAAAATAACCGCCCCCCATGTTTGTCACCCACCCTCAATTATGAATAGTTAGAACAAGGTTAACTATATTAAAACAAAGACATTATAGAAGGAAAGTTATAAATTTGGGTTTTAGCTTCTGTCTGCATCCTCCAGACCTTTGGGGATACGCATGTATGGTGTCCTCACCTGTTAGAAATTATTTTAAAAATTCAGATCCGGCGTGGTGGCTTATACCAGTAATCACAAAACTTTGGGAGGCCGAGGTGGGCAGATCACTTGACCTCAGGAGTTCAAGACCAGCCTGGGCCACATGGTTGAAATTCCATCTCTACTAAAAATTCAAAAAATTAGGTGGGCATGGTGGCACCTGCCTGTGGTCTCAGCTACTCAGGAGGCTAAGGTGGGAGGATTGCTTGGGCCTCGGAGGCAGAGGATGCAGTGAGCTGAGATCGCGCTACTGCACTCCAGCCTGGGTCACAAAGTGAGATTCCCATCTCGCACACACACACACAAGAATAATTCTATAAATGGGTTTACCGGGGTTATCTTTCCTTTGCAGACCCAGAAGTCCACATTCCCCTCGAGAATCTACAGCAGTTTCCTGCCTTCAATTCCTATACCTGCTCCTCTGATTCTACTTTGGGTCCCACCAGCACCGAGGGCCAGGGGGGCCTCTCCCTTTCTCCTCTGAGCAGAAGTCCAGGTTCCCATGCAGGTAAATAGGTGAAATTTAATGAATTCACCCATTGGCTAGACCTTATGCAAAGCCTTGGTGTCTGAATTTACAACCCCGGCCCACTCAGCATGGTGTGGGCTTTGGGGACATAACCTTACTTTGGGTAGTCCCGAGGTCCATCAGAATCTTGCCATTTATTCACCTTTCCGACTTGCCATACTGACCGCTGTACCCCTAGCTTCAGAGAACCTCAAGGAGTTCTTTAGGCAGGATAGTTGAATCTGGATTCTTCCCTGTGACCCAGCTGTTTTTATTTCTAGTTTTTACGTTTGAGATTCTCTCCTGTATGCCTAACCATCTTCCTGTATGTTTCTATTGTAGCAGCGTTTATAATAGCTACAAAAAAAGAAAAAAGAAAACAGTCTGGAAAGCCTACCAATAGGGAAATGGCTAAATTGTAGTATTTATACTATAAGATATTTTACAACTGCTGAAGAAGGGAATAGTTCTCTTCATGGACTAATGGGAAGATGAAACTAACTTATAGAACAAGAACAAATATTTGTGGGTTAAAGAAAACCACCACCACCACAAAATTAAAGCGTTTCATTATGGGTTTATATATCTAAATGTATAGAAAAACTTCTGCTAGAAGGCAGGGCAGGAAATAAAAAGAAAAAAATATTAAAAGTGTAGAAAAAATTGAAGGCCAGGCACGGTGGCTCACACCTGTAATCTCGGCACTGGAGGCCGAGGTGGTCAGATCCCCTTGAGCTCAGGAGTTCAAGACCAACCTGGGCAATGTGGCAAAATTTCATCTCTACAAAAAATACAAAATTTAGGCGGGTATGGTGGTGTGCACCTGTAGTCCCAGGTACTTGGGAGGCTGACGTGGTAGGATGGCTTGAGCCTGGGAGGCAAAGGTTGCAGTGAGCCGAGAATGGGCCGTTGCACTCCAGGCTGGGCAGCAGAACCAGACCCTGTCAAAAAAAAAAAAAAGAAAAAAATACTGAGACAGGTGTGTTCCAAATTGGTAGTAGTGTTACGTTCTAAGGAATGACACTGGATTGAAATGTTCAAATGGGCCTTTAGCCTTAAAAAAAATTTATCTTTTTTTTTTTTTTTTTGAGACGGAGTTTCGCTCTTGTTACCCAGGCTGGAGTGCAATGGCGCGATCTCGGCTCACCGCAACCTCCGCCTCCTGGGTTCAAGCAATTCTCCTGCCTCAGCCTCCTGAGTAGCTGGGATTACAGGCAGGTGCCACCATGCCCAGCTAATGTTTTGTATTTTTAGTAGAGACGGGGTTTCACCATGTTGACCAGGATGGTCTCGATCTCTCGACCTCGTGATCCACCCGCCTCGGCCTCCCAAAGTGCTGGGATTACAGGCTTGAGCCACCGTGCCCGGCCAAAAATTTATCTTATATAGAAAGAATGTTTGTTTGTTTGTTTATAAGACTATTCAAGTACAGTAGTGAGAAGGGGGGAAAGAGTAGAACAGAGAGCTGGATCTATAACTGGGAACAATCAGTTGAGATAACTCACTACCTTCGGACCAGCCAGAATATTTAAAGTGTTAAGAAATTAAAGAGTTACTGACTATAATTTCAGACAATTGTCTTTTATGATCTTCATCTGCCTAGCAGATTGTTTATTCATTTTTTTTTTTTTCTTTTTCTGAGACAGAGTCTCACTCTGTCACTGGAGTGCAGTGGTTTGATCTTGGCTCACTGCAGCCTCCACCTCCCTGGTTTGAGCGATTCTTCTTCCTGTCTCAGCCCACCGAGTAGCTGGGATTACAGGCATGCACCACCACATCCAGCTAATTTTTTTTACATTTAGTAAAGATGGGGTTTCACCATGTTGGTCAGGCTGGTCTCAAACTCCTCGTGATCTGCCTGCCTGGGCCTCCCAAAATACTGGGATTACAGGTGTCAGGCATTCTTAACAAAATGTCCATCATCTGAATATTTAAAACTTTTGGTGACCATTGTGATCACATGCATATCATTTTGCAGATTAGGAACCTGTGGCTGAGGCAGGTAGTTTAGTCAAGAACTGGGATTAGAACTTGGTTCTTGAGGACTGACTGCGCTACTGTGACGCTCTTCTGCTTACCTGAGAAAGGACTATGGCAGATCATTAAATACGCTATCTGTGATAACCATTATTTTTCTTTCTTTCTTTTTTTTTTTTTTTTTTTGGAGACAGAGTGTCGCTCTTGTTACCCAGGCTGGAGTGCAATGGCACGATCTCGGCTCACCGCAACCTCCGCCTCCTGGGTTCAAGCAATTCTCCTGCCTCAGCCTCCTGAGTAGCTGGGACTACAGGCACGCGCCACCATGCCCAGCTAATTTTTTGTATTTTTAGTAGAGACGGGATTTCACCACGTTGACCAGGATGGTCTCGATCTCTCGACCTCGTGATCCACTCGCCTCGGCCTCCCAAAGTGCTGGGATTACAGGCTTGAGCCACCGCGCCCAGCCTCTTCTTTCTTTCTTTCTTTTTTTTTTAAAGACAGGATCTCGCTCTGTTGCCCAAACTGGACCACAGTGGGACAGTCTCAGCTCACTGCAACCTGTGCACCCCAGGGTGAAGCAATTCTTACGCCTCAGCCTCCTGAGTAGCTGGGATTACAGACATGCACCACCATACCCTGCTAATTTTTGTATTTTTAGTAGAGACAGGCTTTCGCCATGTTTGCCAGGCTGGTCTCTGACTCCTGGCCTTAAGTGATCTGCCTGCCTCAGCCTCCCAATGTGCTGGTATTACAGGCGTGAGCCACTGCGCCCAGCCTATCTGTGATAACAAGGTTGTGTTTTCACATACTATCATCTCTGAAAGGTATTTTTTTGTTTGTTTGTTTGTTTCTGTTTGTTTGTTTTTTTTAAGATGGAGTTTTGCTCTGTTGCCCAGGCTGGAATGCAATGGCACAATCTCAGCTCACTGCAACCTCTGCCTCCTGGGTTCAAGCAATTCTTCTGCCTCAGCCTCCCAAACAGCTGGGATTACAGGTGTCTGCCACCATGCCCAGCTAATTTTGTATTTTTAGTAGAGATGAGATCTCACCACGTTGGCCAGGCTGGTCTTGAACTCCTGACCTCAGGTGATCCACCCACCTAGGTCTCCCAAAGTCCTGGGATTACAGGTATGAGCCACAGTGCCTGGCTTTTCTGAAAGTTTAAGCTTTTAATGTATTTAAGGAAGAGTAATTGGTTGGTCCTAGGAATAAGAGTACTGACCATGGGAGGGCCTTTATGCTACTGGGAGAGAGAATAGGGCCCCTCTTGTCCAACACTGTTCAGGGCAGTGGATAGGCTGATCTGTAAATGTTCAGCTCTAGTCAGAAAGGTGAGAGAAGTCTATTACCTAGGGAATATTGGGAAAAGGTTTGCACCCTCATGCTGGATCTTATTGATGTATCTTGGATTCTAATTGCATACTTCCAGGTCATAGTGTCTACTGGCAGGAATGTAAAGGCTGAGCTGATTAAATTTTATCTTTTTCTTGGAGATTTTTCATCCATATAAAACTAGTCCCTGACAGTACCTAGCCTTGAGAGCCAGCCTTTGTGAAAAGTACAGCATTTCAAAAGCAAGGACTTTTCTTACGGTAGGAGTAGATTCTACCATGACTCCTAGTGTTACTATAACCATGAAGCTTTTACCTCTCCCTATACGGGTCACTGATTTCATAGGCAGCATTGTTGGCTTTATAAGAACATGGGAGAGTTGAAGGTTGGATCAAGGTTTGCTTTTCTCTGAGGGGATGGTTCGTAATTTTCCAGACCTGACTCAGGGCTCACTCACCTCTCTTGTTAAGAGAACACTCCTTGGAACGTGACGAATATAATCAGGTCTCTGGTTCCCTTTCAGACTTTCTGCTGACCCCTCTGTCACCCACTGCCAGTCAGGGCAGTCCCTCATTCTGCGTTGGGAGTCTGGAAGAGGACTCTCCCTTCCCTTCCTTTGCCCAGGTAAATCCTTCGATTGTGAAGCAGCCCAAGGGTATTTAACATGAACTCTGCTGCTTATTATTATGGGAACCTTCTCCAGGGATTGTTACCTCTCATTCTAATACGGCTGGATAAGTTGAGTCATCTGATGGGTAGGAGGGAAATTCACTGCCTGTTGGAGCTTTAGGCAGCATAGAGTTGGCCGAGGACAGATTATGTCATGGATGGCCCCTCTGTTGGAAAAGGAGAGACTTAACAGGCTAATGTTGCACTGACTCTAATACATGGGAGGCTTCTTAAGAGGAAAGCTCATGGATTTAGTCCTCAGATGTTACTGTAGGATGTACCTAGGAAAGAGACCAAGAATAACTGAGGGCGAATCAGAGTTTAGAATATTTAAAAACCATTTGATACTTGTGTACTGGATACCGTTGTGGGGGCTGGGGATACACCTTCAATTTTAACTGGTGTCTGGTTCTAGGACCTCTGATTCAGGTGACATTTATCTGTTACATAAAATAAGCTATTTCTTTTTACTTTGAGAGGGGAAAAGTGTCCGGTTTATACTGTAACTAGCCAGAGCAGCTGTGTGGGGGGACGATAGGCTAGTGAGGCTTGCTGTGAAACCACTTTTAATCTCCAAGATAATAAGCTGATATCTCCAAGATGTCAATATTCAGATAACTGAGGAAGATGGATGGACAGCTTGACATGTGCCCTTGTAAGAAGTCTGTATTAACTTCTTTGAGGCTACTGTAGAATCATTATCCTGACAGTTCTTTAGAGTAGTTGATATGGATGTTTCTCATGTAATTATAGCAGTTTGTACTGAGAAATAAGCAAGAATTGAACTTTGGTAAGGAGGGTCCTGAAGTCAAGGATCATGAAATAATTGTGGGGGCGAGATGGGAAGGGAGTGGGGGCTATCCTGAAAATTAACTGCTGGACTTCAGAGGTGATTATTAAGTGGCTCCCAGGAGTTATGCCAAATTCTTAATTTTTTTTTTTTTAACTAGGCTTTACTGCTATTGCTTTTTTCCTTTCAACTTTATTGTGAAAAACTTCACACTTAGAGTCGAAAGAATTAAGTAATACTGTTCGTAATAATATGGGATATTCTCCTATATAACCACAATGATCACATTAGAGAAATTCCACTGCTACAATAATACCTAATACAGTGTGCATATTTCTTTCTCCCCATTTGTCTCAGTGTCCTTTATTTTCAACTCGGCAGAATCTCATTACTCACTGCATTTAGTTGTCAAGTCTCTTTAGTCTCCTTTGAGTTATTAACCATTCCTTTGCTCATATCCCCTCTTTTTTTTCCCCTTCCATGGCCAGTTGTTTTATAGAATATCCTACGGATTAGACTTGTGTGATTTCTCATGAGTGGATTCGGGTTAAAATTTTTTTTTTTTTTTTTTTTTTTTTTTTTTTGAGACGGAGTTTCACTCTTGTTACCCAGGCTGGAGTGCAATGGCGCGATCTCGGCTCACCGCAACCTCCGCCTCCTGGGTTCAGGCAATTCTCCTGCCTCAGCCTCCTGAGTAGCTGGGATTACAGGCACGCACCACCATGTCCAGCTAATTTTTTTTTGTATTTTTAGTAGAGACGGGGTTTCACTTTGTTGACCAGGATGGTCTCCATCTCTTGACCTCGTGATCCACCCGCCTCGGCCTCCCAAAGTGCTGGGATTACAGGCTTGAGCCACCGCGCCTGGCCTCGGGTTAAATATTTAAACACTTTGGTAAGAATAAAATATAGGTGACATATTTTGTTACCTTATTAAGAGTAAAATGAGCCGGGCGCAGTGGCTCAAGCCTGTAATCCCAGCACTTTGGGAGGCCGAGGTGGGTGGATCACGAGGTCGAGAGATCGAGACCATCCTGGTCAACGTGGTGAAACCCCGTCTCTGCTAAAAATACAAAAAATTAGCTGGGCATGGTGGCGCGTGCCTGTAATCCCAGCTACTCAGGAGGCTGAGGCAGGAGAATTGCCTGAACCCAGGAGGTGAGGGAGGTTGTGGTGAGCCGAGATCGCGCCATTGCACTCCAGCCTGGGTAATGAGCGAGACTCCGTCTCAAAAAAAAAAAAAAAAAAGAGCAAAATGATTCACATGTCAAACTATTTGGATGCTGTCTTGGTCCATTTGTGTATAAAGGATTATCTGAGGCAGGGTCATTTATTTTTAAAAAATGGTTTATTTGGCTCATGACTCTGCTGGCTGGAAGACTGGGCATTTGGTCAGCGCCTCAGGCTGCTTCCACTCATGGTACAAGAAGTGAAGGGAACTCTGCTTGTGAAGAGATCACATGGCAAGAGAGGAAGCAAGGAGGGGAGGAGGTTGCAGGCTCTTTTAAACTGTGTTCCTGTGCCCAGTTTTCAAAATAGCTTTCAGCCAAGCTATTGAAGCAGCCTTCCTGAAATGGGACACACCAGCTACTTCAGATCCCCTCTCTGGTAAGGGCAGAAGCTGGAGCGCCCAGGGTTGTGAATCATACTGTACTTGTCTGTCATTCCTGCTTGGATCCAGCGGCAGACATCGCTCATCAGCTCTTTCAGGAACGAACGGGAGAATAGTTCTTTTATCCCTTGGTGGTGGTGCGGGGGCATTCATTCGTTCATGAGGGGTCTACCCCCATGTCCCAAACACCGCCCATTAGGTCCCCACTTCCAAAATTGGGGATCGTATTTTTTTTTTTTTTGAGACGGAGTTTCGCTCTCGTTACCCAGGCTGGAGTGCAATGGCGCGATCTCGCCTCACCGCAACCTCCGCCTCCTGGGTTCAAGCAGTTCTCCTGCCTCAGCCTCCTGAGTAGCTGGGACTACAGGCACGTGCCACCATGCCCAGCTGATTTTTAGTATTTTTAGTAGAGACGGGGTTTCACCATGTTGACCAGGATAGTCTCGATCTGTTGACCTCGTGATCCACCTGCCTCGGCCTCCCAAAGTGCTGGGATTACAGGCTTGAGCCACCGCGCCCGCCCCAAACTGATGTTTTTAGGGGTCCCAAGAAGGGCAGAAAAACTTGCCACATAGTCAAGATTCCCAACTTGAGGGTCTGAGTAAGAATCTCGTGTGCCTTTTATGTGGTGTTCTTTACCCATAAAAGGGGTTTCCCAAGGAACAAAACAGTTTATGGTTTACTACCTTGTGGGTTTCACTGCCATTTCTATTAGAATATAAAAGACATGACTAGAACAGTGTGTTAAGGAGAGAAGTACCTGGAAAATCTTTCCGAAGGTGACAGTCTGTGCCTCTCCAATCAGTGTCAAGGTAAGTCTGGAAAAGAAGTCGGACCAGCTACTTATTTTCCCCCACTTCTTTCCCACTTTGACAGATGCTGAGGGTTGGAAAAGCAAAAGCAGATGTGTGGCCCAAAACTGCTCCAAAGAAAGGTGAGGATGACCCACTTGTGAAGGGGGAGTTTGGTTTGTTTCCATAAAAGGCTGTTTCTAGAAAGGAGTTGTTTCTAGAGCAGGCATCCCCAAACTTTTTACACAGGGGGCCAGTTCACTGTCCCTCAGACCGTTGGAGGGCCGCCACATACTGTGCTCCTCTCACTGACCACCAATGAAAGAGGTGCCCCTTCTGAAGTGCGGTCGGGGGGCTGGCTAAATGGCCACAGGGGGCCGCAGTTTGGGGACGCCTGTTCTAGAGTTTTAACACTGGTATTTTTTAGATGAGAACAGCTTAGTTCCTCCTGCTCCTGTGGACAGCGACGGGGAGAGTGATAACTCAGACCGTGTTCCTGTGCCCAGTTTTCAAAATTCCTTCAGCCAAGCTATTGAAGCTGCCTTCATGAAACTGGACACACCAGCTACTTCAGATCCCCTCTCTGGTAAGGGCAGAGGCTAGAGTGCCCAGGGTTGTCAAACACACTGCACACATCCTGTTATTCCTGCCTGGATTCAGTGGCAGACATCACTAATTAGGCACTTTTCCTTCTGAACCCTTTGGCACAATCTAGTGTCATTTAAATAATACTCCATTTGGTATGTCAGATAGGACCTATTTGCCACCCCAGATTAATTCATAAGGCCCGAAAGTGAAATTCTGAGGAACTTTTCCAAGATACAGTGGGGTGTACAACCTGTATCCTTTAGAATCTTGAGTTGGTACAGGGTAGCCAATTAGGAGAAGTCACTCTCAAAGCCTGTTGCACTCTGTTCGTGACTAGATAAGAATCACGTATGAGAGGCTCAGTGCCTCTCTCAGTGCTGTGTGCCTTGCATCGTGCTAATTTTATCCTCCCAACAGCCACATTAAATGGGTTTACCTCATTACAGATGGGGAAACGGAGGTCCAGGGAGGTAAAAGTGACTTGCTCAAAGGCACCCACTTAACGTATACCAAGACTGGTATTGGAGTCTAGGTAGTCTAATTCCAGAGCCTCCACTCTCTCAGTAATTAAAATTGGCCAGGGGACAAGAGATGGCATTTTAAGTTAAGCAAGCTCTCTTTCTGTGTCTCCCTTTAGAAGAGAAAGGAGGAAAGAAAAGGAAAAAACAGAAACAGAAGCTCCTGTTCAGCACCTCAGTCGTCCACACCAAGTGACACTACTGGCCCAGGCTACCTTCTCCATCTTTTTTTTTTTTTAAACCCCATGCTTTTGTTTGGCTGCTGTAATTTTTAAGTATTTGAGTTTGAACAGATTAGCTCTGGGGGGAGGGGGTTTCCACAATGTGAGGGGGAACCAAGAAAATTTTAAATACAGTGTATTTTCCAGCTTCCTGTCTTTACACCAAAATAAAGTATTGACACTCACAAGAGATCTCTTCCTGCCAAGGTTTTTAGTTTGTTGTGAGTGTAGTCTTTTTGAACCATGCGTAATTAATTTTTCTCAACCCAAAATAAGATTTGAGTCCCTTCGATGTGCATTAGGCTGTCCAGCCCAGAATGGCACAGCACTGCTCTGCCGGAGCATCGTGTCAGGGCTTTCTGGCCTCAGCACCTCTCTGTCTTTTAAAAACAGTTGAGTCCTTACTATTTAGTTCTCCTTGTTAAAGCGGAGGTGTGGGAATAAAATGGATTTAGGACACCCAGTTTGAATTGCAGTTTATTTTTCTTCTGACACATGGCCAGGCTGTGGTGCCAGCTTAATGGGGTAGGTTGTCCTTGGCATTTGCATGTGTGAAAGGAGGGTTTTGCCTCTTCTTGAGCATGGCTTGCATTGGCAAGGAAAGCTGTAACTCACGAAGGAAGCCCTGAGACCTGCTACCCCTAAGATCGAGCTTGTTTTCAGTGAGAGTGGCTTGAGTCGTAGGAACAGGAGCCTGTACAGCTGGATAAGAGCAGGGCCGTCTGAAGCTGTAGCATTGCTGTCTCCCTTTGATCTAGAGCAGTTTCCTTATGCCTTGATTTGAGCTAATTTTGATGTGAACTCTTTTGCTGCTTAATAAAGTGATCTCTAGGTGTATTAGACTATGAAGGCAAACGGTTGCAATAAATCACTTGCATAAGCAATGTCAGCTTTTTGTTTTGTTGAGTTCATCACAGGTAAGCTAGACATTTCTTGAATAGGTTAACATAATAGCTGCCAGGATATTGTGGGCTGTCTTTTCTGGTGTCAGGTTTAAATGGCTCTAGAGCTGGGCTTAGCTTTAATCTGCATTTTTTTTTTTTTTTTTTTGAGACGGAGCATCGCTCTTGTTACCCAGGCTGGAGTGCGATGGCGTGATCTCGGCTCACCGCAACCTCCACCTCCTGGGTTCAGGCAATTCTCCTGCCTCAGCCTCCCGAGTAGCTGGGATTACAGGCACGCACCACCATGCCCAGCTAATTTTTTGTATTTTCAGTAGAGACGGGGTTTCACCATGTTGACCAGGATGGTCTCGATCTCTTGACCTTCTGATCCACCCGCCTCAGCCTCCAAAAGTGCTGGGATTACAGGCTTGAGCCACCACACCCGGCTTAATCTGCCATTTTAAAAGAAATCCTTTCAGGAAATTTCCTGGGTGGATCCAGGGTGTTCTAGCCTCAAGATGAGGCGGGTGGCCGGGCGTGGTGGCTCACATCTGTAATCCCAGCATTTTAGGAGGCTGAAGTGGGCGGATCACGAGGTCAGGAGATTAAGACCATCCTGGCCAACGTGTTGAAACTCCGTCTCTACCAAAAAATACAAAAATCAGCTGGGCATGGTGGCAGGTGCCTGTAATCCCAGCTAGTTAGGAGGCTGAGGCAGGAGAATAGCTTGAATCAGGGAGTCGGAGGTTGCAGTAAGCCGAGATCGTGCCACTGCACTCCAGCCTGGCAACAGAGTGAGTGAGACTCTGGCTCAAAAAAAAAAAAAAAAGAGGGAGGCATGTTGAAGCCAGTCACCAGTATTTCGGTTAAATGTGTGTAAGTACTTTCAGTGTAATCCATTGTATTATGGAGAAAACAGATCTTAGAAATGTCTGTAGGTAGCAGACCAAACCTGGATCACAGTCTCTCACCATTCCTGCTTCCTAGTGAGTGTGGCAGTCTCACTTGTCTTCAGGTGTAAGGCGATAAAGAAGAGCAGAACTATAAAAAACTGCCTTAAGTTCTTTAAGTGGGCGCCCTACATGGCCATGCAATAATGATGTCAGGTGAGGCTAGCTCTCCCACCCCAACTGTAAAAGTTGCCTATTTAAAGTTACCTAAGACCCTGTGGTTCTGTGCTGAGACTGGCTGTAGATCTCTGCCAGTTTAGTTTCTGTGTCTCAACTAAAATTTCTATTTCAAATGACTTGCCTTGCTTAGGGCTCATCTTGGGGACTGGGGGTACAAAACCTCAAGTAGAAGGCTAAGTATTGAAAATCTAGGCCAGATGCAGTAGCTCACGCTGTCAATCCCAGCACTTTGGGAGGCCAAGGCAGGCCGATCACTTGAGGACAGGCGTTCCAACAGCAGCCTGCCCAATATGGCAAAACCCCGTGTCTACTAAAAATACAAAAAATTAGCCAGGTGTGGTGGTACATGTCTGTAATCCCAGCTACATGGGAGGCTGAGGTGGGAGAATTGCTTGAACCCAGGAGGCAGAGGTTGCAGTGAGCCAAGATTGCACCACTGCACTCCAGCCTGGGCAATAGAGTGAGACTGTTTTTTTAAAAAAATTTAGTACCACATAGGTAGTCTTCCCACCAAGGCTAGGGATAGAGAGGGAATAGAGACTTGGCCAAGCATGGACTCCATAAGCTCTTTTTGTAACGTAAGTATGCTAGTTACCACGGAAACCAGATACATTTATTAAACCTACTCTTAGCCAAGCAATTAGATACAAAGATGTCTATACAGAGTTCACAACCTACAGCACTTAACCAAGGAATGTTAGGTAAAGGCAACTTGTTTAACTGAGTACTCCATTTCAAGTGGGTAACGTGTCCTCTGGTTGCAGTTACCCAGTTAGGAAAACTGTAGAAGATGCTGTTGCTACCCAGAATGTTCTGTTCAACAAGTGGGTTTGAAGCTTGAGCACAGTGTAGCCTGCCGTATGGTGAGCAGAGGTTCACTCCATTGCTTCGGCAGCCTCCTCACTTGACTCTTCCTCCTCCTCTAGTAAGCAGCTTCTTGTCACAGACTTCTGGATAGCTTCCCGCTCTCCTGGAGAAGGCAGATAACAGATGAAAGATGACTTTGGGAGTGATTTCTTTGGCTCAAGGTCTGTCACTGCTCAGTGGGGCCTGGGCTAGTGTTGCTTACCTTCATCAGTGCAGTTCTGCAACAAGATCAACAGCTGTCTCCTGTTGTACTGAATTAGGAACTTCTGACATGTTCTTATTGTACCTGGCATATGAGTTATTGTGGTCAACAGCTTGTGAAAGGTCTTGACTTGTATAAAGAGGTAGGGGAAGGGTATCTTGTTAGTGGGACAGCAAGAAGACCCACCCAACAGTCTAGACTCAACTCTGAACGTGTCACCTATTGAAAATCAGTAGCCATGTGTTAACATTCCACTCCTACCTCCCACATGTAACGTGTTGAAAAAGCATGGGTAACGATGTCCTTTGTTCTCCAAGTACGTGATGAAGGGAAGAGCTGACCACGCAAGCTGATAGAATTCTTTTCTACATCGAAGTAGCACTATTCCAGTATAGGCATTGAGGTATCGAACTAGAACAGGAAAAAAAAAATCGTTTTGGAAAACTTTTGCCAGGTGTGGTGGCTCATGTCATGCCTATAATCCCAGCTCTTTGGGAGGCTAAGGCGGGCGGTCCACTTGAAGTCAGGAGTTCAGGACCAGCCAGGCCAACATGATGAAGCCCTGTCTCTACTAAATACAAAAATTAGCCAGACATGGTGGGGTGCACACCTGTAATTCCCTACTCGGGAGGCTGAGGTAGGAGAATTGCTTGAACTGGGGAGGTGGAGGCTGCATCGAGCTGTGATCTCACTGCTGCACTCCAGCCTGGGTGAAACGAGACTCGGAATCCAAAAAAAAAAAAGCGGGGGGGGGAGGGGGGGAAACTTTGGAGTCGCAGGAGCATATTAAAAGCTTTGGAGTAACAGAGCCTACTATGTGCTCAACGTATGTTGCAGGCAAGTGGCATGTAGGATGTATCAGCGAGTAAAAACGGGAGAAAAGCCAAAACACCCACTGTTGCATACCACTCAGAACTGGTGAATGAATTTAGAACTTTAAATTCTTCCTAATTCACTAACTAGTTAATTCAATAAATAGGAGCAGGTAGGAGGCGATCCATTTTAATTTAGGAAAAAACCTACAAAACTCTTGCCCGAAAAACAGGCTGTTTTGCTGCAATTGGGCTCTAATGCTTGTAGCGGTCAGCTTAGTCTCACCTGATTTAGGGGAGTTAAGGTTATCTTCAAGGTAAAAGAGGGAACTAATTTAAGTGGTGTGGAAGGGCCCCTCTTTGTCGCAGCTCATCCTATATTTACATATATATTTACATATATTTATATATTTACATATATAAACAATCTGCACTCTGCCAACTATTTAAGGGCTTTCCCAGGGGAACTTTTGACAATTTTTTTTTTCCATGTGACGTTAATGTTATCGGTCATACAGCTCTTACTAGGAACTATACACTGCTTCCCTCATTTAGATCTCTATCCTATCAAATTCAATCACAACGAATTACGGATGTCAAACAGGTAAAAAGAGGCCTTTAGTTCAAGGTCTCACTGCCTTCGGGCCCCTCCTTTTAGCTCTCTGCTAATTTCGGACTTGTCTGGATCAAGTCTCGCTCGGGGTCCCAGGCGCTTAAAGAGATACCTTACAAAAAGCAGTTGCACGGGGGCTGGGCCACTCCAGCAGTGGCTCGTGCCCCTTCTTTCTTCCTCCGGCGCCTGCCCCTTCCGCGTCCCGCCATCCTCCCGGGTTCCCCCAGCGCCCTCGCACCCGCGAAGCCGATGGAGCAGGCGGCTGCGCCGAAAGTCCCGTGCACCCGGGCGATCGTGTCCCGTACGAGGCTGCTCAGAACTCGGTCATCGAGGCTCAGGCGGCAGCGGGGGTCGTCCGACACCAATTCGCAGAGCAGATACCTGCGGCAGGCGAGAGGAAGGTGGGCGCTTGCGGGGCCGTGAGGTCCCGGCAAGACACTGGGTGGGTCTGCAAGGAACAGCTTACCTGTGCTTGAACCGCACCATGGCTGCCTCCGCGCCCTCCGGCCCGATGTGCAAACCGGATGTGGGTTCCGCCCGCTGCCAATGGGAAGCTTGCTTCCTCAGCCTTTCAGCCATTCAGAGAAGGAGGCAGGACATGGGGGCAGGGCTAGAAAGTTGAGAAGCCCAGCTCTGTGTCAGTCTCCCTCAAGACCCGTCCCGGCTCTCTAAGCGCGCATGCGTACTGCGGAGGACCCGGCCTAGTTTGAGGACTGAACTCCGAGTGTGAATCGTCTTGCAGCTGTGATGGTAGGTTCTGCTGCACTCCGGAGTTTACAATACTGTGTTATTTTATTGTAAATGTAAGGTGCAGCCTCTTTTCTTGGGGCCCTGGAAACCTTGCAGCACAGTTATGTATGCGAGTATATTTTCTCCCCAAGGTGAACGGTGGAGCTTTTGAGGGCAAGACCCTGCACCTCAACAGCCCAGGGATTGACAAACGGGAAATCGGACCCCTATTTTCAGGTTAGAGCTCAGTAATTCTTCCATACAGCTAAATATGCCATTGTTGTTTGCGCCTTTCAACAATCTTAGGGAGGCGAGCGTGCTGCCTCGTTTTTTGTTTACGGAAACAATACGTGGTCATTGTATTTTCCTTTTTTTTTTCTTTTTTTTCTTTTTCTTTTTCTTTTTTTAACAGAAAAGCACCAAGAAGCAAATAAATTATAATCCCAGCACTGAGAGAGAATAGCTGTTGTCGTGTCACGTGTTTTCTTCTATCATTTTCTCCCTGGGCCAGCGGTTCTTAAAAGTGTAGTCTGAGCCGGGCGCGGTGGCTCAAGCCTGTAATCCCAGCACTTTGGGAGGCCGAGGCGGGTGGATCACGAGGTCGAGGATCGAGACCATCCTGGTCAACATGGTGAAACCCCGTCTCT